TGCATCCATGTATGCACCAGTGAGTAGGAAAGCATGTGTGTGTATACAAGGAGGGAGAGTGTTGAAAGCTGGAACAAAGCGACTGCGTTATGCATCTGTTGCCCAGCACATAAAGGTCAGAGCTGATTGTGTGTCAGAGGCTAAATAACACAAGAGCCTTCCAAATAAATGCCAACACAAATGATATTTTGAAAAAGCAGAGTGATGGGAGCTGTGTTCTACAGACATCAACAAGGAATTGTGCGTTTTGCGTGCTGGACAACATTTGTCATCGCAGAACGTAGATTTCACAAACATATTGCACGCACATGTAGAAACAGTGGGACAATAACAATGTATTCTAACCATGTAACCTTTACGCCGCCTCCCAGGTACAGCAAGCACATTATTTTACCATCAACCTCCACAAGTTATTGCTACTGGCTAATTCATCGCTTCACCTGACCACCATGATTCATTACAGCAGCAGTGACAATACGGTGACTCAACTTATTCATCAGTAATGAGTGTGTGTGTCTAGCGTCTAAATGTGCATATATACAGGTGGTTGCAAGAGCTGTGAGAATGAATCACACATGTGCGCACACACACACACACACACACACACACACACACACACACACACACACACACACACAGAGATTCATATAGGACCCTTAATGAATTCCTGCTCTCATATTTATCAAAGTAGCCCAGCTGGGAGGCTGTGTGAGCGTGTGTGTCGGTGTGTGGGTACATGTATGTGTGTGTGTGTTGTGACTCCACAGTATAGCGATACATTACACTAATAACTTCGACAAGAAATTTTATTTCATTTTTATTTTCAGATGTATACGTCCCTTTAATGTTGTGAGGCTCTATGGTGTTGTTTAGTTATCAATTAATTCAGACTGTGGAAGCTAATTAGCTTAGCTTGCCCACATTGATACAAAATTATACTTAAGGCTAATATAATTTCAATATGTGTATATCAATTATAGTTATTCAATTAGTTCATCTAGTTCAATATCTTTACCTGCAGTTCCCGCACACTCAGTGTTGTGACACGCCCACATTACATTAAAAAGGAGCATCATGTGATTTTCTTATTTTTCTTTAATATTTTTCATTAAAACTTTACTATGACTCTCACTGAGGTGTCAGTTCATTTGAAAATGAGAATAATTTTGTGTATCTCTTTACCATCATCACAAATGGTCTAATAGGCACACAAACACAAACACACACACACACACACACACACACACACACTCTCAAACACAATGACAGATGGGATTTGACAGTTCACTCTGCGTGCCGCACCAGGTGGGGATGACCTTTAAAGATGACTGGCACGAGCTGGAGGAAGGAAGGAAGAAAGAAGGACGGACAGAGAGAAGAGAAGCGAAAGAATAGAGAGAAACCCACAGAGAGCTGCGGCGGTTGTGAGGGATTTGCTCTTTTAAACTGTGAATCAGTGGTCTTTTAGAAATACCACAGGATGCTAAAGTGTTGCAGCTCACAGCCAGTCTAGTGGAACAAAGCCCCTTCAGTCCTATTGCTCTGATTTTGTTTACGCTGCCTCTCAAATCAGATCACTTCTACCCTGACTTCCAAAGCCATTTAAATTGTTTATCCTAAAAGTCAGTGAAGTCACCATCAGTACATTTTTCCTCCACTCCTCCCCAGAATAGCCACAGTCTCCATTTTTTATACAGTAGCTTACAAGTTAGATTTCATTAGACATCTGTTTGAAACTTTTATGGCACATAAAGAAATTATAATGTGATGCAGAGCCTCTTTTTTTGGAGTTCATTTTTCAATGTATTAGTCCCAGGGGGTCAGTCTGAGGCAGCTGCCCAGTCAAACTCTGAAAAACATTCTTCTTTCATCTGCTTGAAAATGGTGAATTTACAGCTCATAGCAAAATAACCATATTTAATGATTTGGCTGCACGTTTGGGGGCAGTTATGTCATCCATCTTTATATACAGTCCATGGCTCAGAGGAATCACTTGACATGTTAACTGAACGTCACCCTCACCCTGAATGATTCATATTGAAAAGCCACATCTGATTCAACTGAAACAATCTAGTACAGGCTTATGAGTATTTGTTTTTTGGATACATGTTGGCTGAATGAATTGTTGTTTCTGCATGGAATTTTTAAAAGGTAGGTTTTATAGGTTGGGTCTGAAATGCAAATAAGCGATTTGTTAAAAGACATACTTAGAGCTTGAACTTTTTATTTACATTACAGTTTGTCCTTCTTCTGAAATGGCCCTCCTCCATGAGTGGATTCCAGGGTTTTAAGCACTCTCAAATACAGTGTGTTGATATACATAGAAACACTTACCTAATTATTTCTGCAGGCTTTGTCAACAGCAGCAGCCTCGTTTCTGCACAGTGTGATAACAGGAACAGCCAAAATAATGGGGGGTTCATTCCACTGTCCCTGCTGACTGACTAAGCTGATAAAGTGGGGGCACAGAGTGTGCATGCTAATCAGTGCAGTGATGGAGATTCATTGATACTGTAACCCTGTGTGAGGAAACGGCTGCAGAGTGCACACGTCTGGGCTTTTTATCTCCTGCTTTAGTGCATTTTAAAACAGTTTACATGGAAGGAGAAAAGGACAAAGTAATTCAGGTGTTTAGAGGGTGGAGACGCTGTTGTGGAAATTTGACTGACATGATAAAACATTGGGATTTGATGAGTTCTGTACTTAAAGATGTCTCGTTAAATCAAAGAAAGTTGCTCAGTGATTGAATTAGTCTAAATGCAATCACACAAAATTTGAGAGGATGTTTTACATGTTGATCTATAATATTTTGCACATAAATCCATTTCTTTGACTGAAGGATGAGGTCATACAAAGTGCTGTCCCCAAATGGATTCATGCAATTCTACGTGGGCTCATTTGAAACTTCTGCCCAAAATACTGTTACAGACAAGAAACACTCAGTATAAGTGCTCAGAGCTAAAAACTACTGGGGATTAAATGTGCCAAATCTTCTTGAAACTGTCCCTGTTTACCATTAATACTGTGGAAACTAGCAGACAAATACCGCAAAAACTAGTTTGGGAATTACACTGAGCTCTATCAGCATGTATTCAGCAGATGGAGCTTCATGGTGCCCATATGAAAGACTTTTGGAGGTTAATCACAATGTCAGCTCCAATACAAAGGTTATTTTTATCTCAACAAATGACATAATATAACCTTTTTTATTTGACATTAAGAACGGTGAGAAATCCCTGTAAAGAAAAATGGTTTTCTTAATTTAAATTAACTAGGCATCATTACTTTTGAGAAATAATATTTAGTCCTCTTAGCTGTAAATATATAGCGATGTCAAACTGCACGGATGAAAAATGGAAGCATGCAGTACCTCACATTTATTCAATACATTATAGCTTGGTGATACCCAGCGGACATGGAGGTACTGGATTAAACAAGACAAAGATACCAGAAAGGGCTGACAGCTCCAATAAACTCAAACTTTGACAGCTGTGAAAAGGGTTCCTAATGGATTACACACACACACACACACACACACACTGGTTCTCTCTTTTACTGCATTCACAGATACAAAATAAAAGTATTAAATCCATTTTGAGGTCAAAGTAGGTGTTGATTATTTGTGTAATGGAACCATGGTTCATCCGTGATCTGTGCAGTTTGACCCCCATGGTCCGGAACACATGTGAACAGCAGATTAATTGCAAAGTTTACATATTGGGAGCATTTCGGGTTCCCGGTTAAATATACGGATGACGGGACCGGCAAAGAGCAGTGTTTCCCACAGAACTGTTTCATTCTGTGATGGCAGCATGAGTGCACCTGTATGCGCCCGTAGTTCGCTGTACAACAGAGCCTGAGTGACAGGTACACAGACTAGACAGCGAAAGAGAGGTTTTCATGCATTAGAGAACTGCTTTGTATGCCAGTGAGGGTACTCAAACAGCTGCAGGTAAAACCACGAGGTATGACTGTCTGCATGGACAGTGAGAACTTTACGGATGACAGCACAAGCCTGCAAGATGGAGAGACAGAGCGAGGATAAGGCAGATAGCTCTACAAGGAATCAAAGCAAAACACTACTTCAGAGATATCTTATGCTATTATGTTTAATTTTTTGGGTTCATTATGAAACTGTTGATAGACATAACAGAGGTTATAATCTTTGGGTTAAACTGAGAACCATATACACTTCTGCAACAATATTTTACTCTCCTTTTCACTCTCTCTCAGCCGTTTCTGCCTCTAAATCATATGTGTGCATGTATATGTGCTATGCAAATCTGACAATGTATTAAATTGTGACAGATCACCAGCTGAGCTGTAGATACAAACACACATACACTTTGAGAGTTGGGAGAATTTGCTGCAGACAAAAATCCTAGGACTCCTTCGACAGGCTGCAAGAGAAACTTGCAAGGGAAGCAGAAAAGCCTGGACTTTCTGACTAATGTGCCAAACACTAAATGCCTCTAGTTGTTGTTTAGGGTGGGATGCTTTTTGTTGTTCTGACCACAAGTTATATGCTTTTCTGTTATTTCATGAACAAAACTCCAACTACATTGCAACCTGTTAAGAAAAGGCTGAGAGAAGGAATAAATTATGAAATATTATTTTATTTGAAGCTAATCCAAAAACACATTTTTGTAGTTCTGTTTTGCCCCTTGGCACTGCTAGCAACATTCAAATATTCAGTTGTGATCTCTTTCCTCTTCTCTTACAGAGAGCACAAGAAATGGGAAGACAGGCGTTGTAAAAGTAACATAGTCTGTAGATGTTTTTGTGTTGTAAATTATTTCTGACACACACACACACACACACGTCACACACGTCACAACCCAAGAAATAAAATAACTAAAAACTGCTGAAGCAAAATATTTTTTTCTTAAAGGGAGCTCAACACTTCATAAAGTGGAGGTGACTTAGCTGTCACAGTGATAACAAAATCCTTTTGGTAAACAGCGGGGCAGCATTGAAGTACAATGTCGATATCCTGCGATTACCCCGGAGACATGTCCTCAAGCTGAACTGTCGTCTTCAGTCCGCATGGCTTTGTTCCAGTCCAAAAGTCAGCCCTGCCTGCTTGTCTTCTTGGCCCCTATCCATTTAAAACAGCATTGTCTCCTTGCAGTTGACACAAATCACCTGCAAAACATGTTCCTCCTTTTCCAAACCATTCTGCCTTATGTTGAGGCTTTCAGAGGTCAACATCCCTAGAATATATAGGAAGAGATTTAAAGACAGAACAGATCCTTACCTCAAAATAAGGTCAGAACAGGATGCTCAGTAAGAAGTAAGTGATAAGGAGAAAGCAAGAAGGCAACAGATAAAGAGACAAAGAGAAAACTGACAAAAATAAGACAAGAGAGAAAGATAAATTAAAAGGAAGTGTGGCAGAGTAAGAAAAAGGTGGAGAGGAAGCGAGTAAATGAGAGCAGAGGAAAAAGAGGAGAGTCTCCCGTGGAGTTCAACTTTTGGAAACTGACTCGGTCTCAGCAGGTGGGTCGGCGAGAATCCCTGGCCAGATTCCAAGCTCCCATGATGCTCTGCAGCAGCTCATGATGGGCCAGACATCACATGACACCCTGTTACAGAGCTGACATGTTGCGTTAGTAGGACACATGGATCGGTTCTCATTGATCTGGCCAGGTGGTGCTGCTGCCTCACACATGCGCACACCTGAGATGAGACGACCCACTCCGCCAATATTCCTGTACGGATTGGTCCGTTTCCCAGTTAGTGAATTTGAGTGCTAAGCAGTTTTCAATTCAGGAAATAACCTAACCTGAATAAGAAACAATAGAAGGTGATTTGTCACTGTAGCGTATCAACCTGGGGAGGCCTGGTTTTTGTGTACATAAACACCATGTGGGGAGTTTGTGTGTCTATTTGCCCACAGGCTACAGTTTATTAACCTGATGTGTGTGTGTGTGTGTGTGTGTGTGTGTTAATGAAGTCATTTGTTAACACACAGATGAACCAGAAACATAGAGAACAGGAGCAGCTCTATGCAAGCTGCACAGGCAGATGGTCGACTCACATGCCAATGAGTGCACGCCTGTATACACACACACACACACACACAGTCGAAACCAGGCAATATTAGCCACTGTGACAAAAGAAGAATGGTTAATAAGGGTATTCAGTCGTATTGGACTATTCTACTATAGTATCAACACCAATTGGTGTAAATCCTGTTGGTAACTGAGCAGCTCAGAACATTTAGACCAGATTTAGAACAACACACAACAAACTTGCAAAGTTGCTCAAAGCAGCATAGTACTATCTTCTAACTACTTCAAATGTTATAATAATGTTATCGGCGTCACATTTTAATATAGGTGGAGGAAATAAACTGAATGTTCTCAAATCCAAAATTAATTCATTAAATCAAACATTTAAAAGACACAAATGTGTGGGGGTTAGGCCCCCTTCTAATCTACTCTCAAAATATTACTCTTTGTTTTTATTTTGCAGTTGCAATATATTACCAGTAGGGGGTAGTGCAGCCCCCACTCTACCCCTACTACCAGCCCTCTCTCTTTTTCCTTTGGTTCTTTCTCAAATAGTATAACTTATTAAGGAACAGACAGTGCAGACGTAGAAGAAGCCTCAAATTGAGGTGAATATGTGTATTGCTTTGTGTTTATTGCTTTGTGCATTTGTGTGTGTATGTGTATACAGTATGTGAATGTACTGTTTGTTTGATATCCCTGGGCACATTACAAAAGTTCTATACTGGGTCGTTGTTGTGTTGAAACATGTCTAGTTGCTGTACTGTTGGTATTTACCATGATATTTCTACAAGGCTCAGGGTCTGGACCACGGTCATGGATAATGACTGGGCTTAAATGGCAGCCTCCGCTTCCATTCCCTAGCGTGCGCCAAGGAGCCGACACCAAGCTAATCTCTGGAGAGGTTCTGCAGTCTCAAGAGGACTGGCTGTCCTGATACTACAGCAGGTAATCAGATTGGTCTGTGTGTGTGTGTGTGTGTGTGTGTGTGTGTGTGTGTGTGTGTGAATGTGAGGGAGACAGAGGAAAGAGATGTGACAGATCGACTCTGCGATTGATTTCCTCGTCACAGTGTTAGTGTTGACCTTATGGGTGATTTAGAAAGTTCACATCCGTGCAAGTGTGCTCACGTTTGCATTTGTGCTCGGGCATGTGTGTAATATGAGTGTTGAATGGGTGAGCCTGGCATATTGTATATAATCCTAGTAAGACTTCCTTAATGAAATTATATCGACTGTGCATTAATTGTGAATTTCAAGAAGAAGAGGGGAACTGTAGTCAGTGCATACATTAGGAAATAATTTCAGATTATTACATTTAGTCAAAATCCAAATCAACAAACAACACAACATGGGGGAGCAAACAGCCTGTTCACACACCTAAACTGCTTCTAATACAGCACAAGTGCTTTTATAGAGATGAGGATTCATAGTGCAAAATAATGGAAACTCGCTTCCGGCTGCACTGGAGGCATGAGCTGTGCTTGTGTGTGTCAGTGACAAAGGACCTGGGTGCCTTCCCTGGTTCACTCCACTGCCTCCTGAGATGAGCTCATTGCTTCGCCCCGCCCAACCCGTACACACCCTTTGATAGATTGGTCCGAGGTGGGACCCTGACTGCCTCACTAAATTCATCTGGATGCAACCATTTCCCCATGTGGGGAACGGGCGAGATCGATTGGGTAAGACATAAAATTGGGTGCATCTCAAGCAAGTTCAAATTGAGACTAATAACAGTTATTTTCAGAGGCTGTCGTTTAAGGAGGTACAAGTAGAGGAATAAGAGAGCTATGCTAATGCATCAGCAAGTTAATGAACAATGACAGGCACATCATACGCATTAGATGTATGAGAATTGATCCATCTTAAGTACAGATTAGTTTCTTATGCTTGAACATATAGGTTTGCATCATTCACAAATACCAAAGACGTGCAGTACATTTCTAACCTAGTGGTAGCACTGGAAATTACACTTTCACTAACAGCACAGATCCAATGAGGGGACACTGAGAATGGAGGCTGAAAGCAACACACAACTGCAATCTCCTGATCGTATCACAAAAAAACGTAAGTCATTACAGCAAAAGAGGCTATAACAAAAAACGTGCATATAAGCTCAGTGGTTGAAGCAAAGGTACATTTTGGTCCCCTGGACATCATAGTACTTCAGTGTGTGTATGTGTGTGTGTAAAAGTAAAGTTGCATTTAAAATATCATTTAAGCAAAGTGTAGGTACAACACTGTCTGCTGTCTAAATCTGCAGCCTTCCTTGTCAGACAGATGTTTGCACTTCAAAATATAGACAGATCTGCATAATAAGACCTTTATTCACACTAACATGGAGGTTAAGTTAAAAAAAGCAACCAGGTCACACGTAAGCAGGGTAAAAGACGGACTAATCAATAGCTGCTTATTGCCGGGACCTTGAGCTCCTTCTGATTCAATTACCTGCTATGATGAGGAAGGGCAGCCAGGCAGGGAGGCAGGCAGGCCAAGCCCACAACACTGTGATTAATGGGGCCAGGGCCGAGGAAATGGGTCATACAGACAGAGAGCAGGGGAGGGGGCAAGAGGAGTAAAGAGGGAAGAGAAAAATGATCGGCTGAAGGATAAAATAAAGAAGAGGAAAAGAAAAGACAGAAGGCAATTGCAGGAGTATATGAGGAGAGAGGACAGTAAAAAGAAAGAGAGAGAAAAATGGGAATGAGAAAAAGTAGGAGCAGGTGTAACAAGGGAGAATAGATATAGTAAGAATTGTGAAGAAACAAGTTGAGATAAAGAGAGGGACAGAAAGAGTGGGAGAAGGTGTGGGACAGACTGTGTGAACCCGAGTAAACTCTTTCATTTGTCTCACTTTGAACTTTCCCCTCTGCGGGATCCTCACTCCTCTGCTTTCTGTCCATCTACCCTTCTTTTCTACGTTCTCCTTTCTGCGTCATACAGTAATGCCTCTTCTGACACCTGCCATGTGTCAGGAAGTGTCTTTGCTAGTTTCAGACCACAGTGTTTAAATAGCAAAAGCAATTTTACTGCTCGCACTACTATCTCTTCTTCCACCACTGAAACAGGTTTATCATATTTGACAATCACATAGGCTATGACATATGTATTACGGCGCGTGTGCAATGCAGAACGCCTTGCTTCCATTTCTGCGCCAGTGTTATCAGATTAGAGGTTCCACACTGCCTGCTCGAGGTCTTGCATCATTTCTCTGGGTGCTGCAGAATAGACAGTCATAATTATCTTTTACCACAGTTTCAATGTGTATCTGTCGAATACGTCACGATATAAGTATTTACAACACTTCCTTCACACTTTTCAAGTAAAGACACTCTAGTGTTTCAGTTGACTGAATCCATTCATTTGTTTTAAAAAAGGTTTTTAGATACACAGCTTCATACATATCGTTTGGTTGAGTACAAAAACCCAACTTTTATTCGAGGGAATACAGTGATCATACTAGAAACCTCATGTTGACATGCAGCAGATTCGTGGCACTGCTGTCACGTGCCGCTCAGTGTTGCCCCCGGCGTTATTTAGCCACTGCCACCCACAGGGTTGTGCTCAATGAACAGAAGACAGGGACATGTTTTAATAACTTGTGTGAGTGTGTGTAACAGTTTCTGTTGTCCTGATACTATTGCAAGTAATCAGGTTAGTGTGTGTGTTTGTGTGCATGCGTGTGTGTGCGTGCATGTTGAGGAGAGGTATAACTTCCCAGTAGTGGTAAGAGGCCTTCAGTTAAAGTGCAAACAGATTGAGAGGACTTCCTGCCTTAGTGTGATAATTAGAAGTGGATAGATTCAGATAGCCAGGTCCACACAAATGAGAACGCAAGCTTGACTATTAAAAGATGAAGAATGATGACAACAAAAACAATGTATTGCATTGTAATGGGCTGTTATTATTTCTACCAGCCTTCTAGATTATATTACAATGGCAAATGTTTACTCTATATATTATATTATAACAACTGTGTTAGAGCAAGGTCATTTTATTCTGCACTTATCTCCATGTTTTTAACTATGAATGCATCATACGTAAAACCTCACTTCATACAAAAGCTGCAAAAATATTAACTTCTACTCTCCACCTGACTTAGATTTCATTGTGATTGTCCTAACTGAAGAGTGTTGTATCCAAGACACAGCGAAATTAGCTTGAAACCAGCTAATGCTATATAGAGCGTTGTAAATGGCT